GGAGAAACATTCTTCAATCGAAGGCCAAGGTAGTCAAAGTTTTGCTGAAAAGAATACCTCATTCGATGGATTCTCGCCTTTCATCGCTTTCAGCGTAAAAGCAATTTCGGCTGCACGCAACTGGTGCTGAAGCACTCGATCCATTTGCTTGTAAAATGGTCGGGAAGTGAAATACCCTTGAAAATACTGCCCATATGGTTGAAAACTAAGCGACAAAAAGGGCTGAGAAAGTTCCGAACCGCTCCAATAATGATCATCCCTATCAGCGTACGTGAAGAAATCACCAGACAGTACTGGTAGCCCGTCAGATTCGGCTCGTAAAGATCTATCTAATTCGGTGAAATAATCAGCAAGCGTACCAAATCTAGCCTAAAAAGGATATTAAATGCAACTGTTAGTAAATTTTAATAGAAAATAGTTATAATACCAACATGAATATTCCATTCAGTATGTTTGTTCATTTCTTCAAAGAGTTTCTTGTAGTTTAAATATTGCTCATTCCACTCATTCGCTTTGTCGTATCTATAAGATCAGTACATTTTTAACATTTTTAGTGTAAATATCTTATAGCCGTAACCTTGAGTGATTTAAATTCGAACATATGAAGTTGTAAACAGATCTACATAGAAAATGAGGGAAAGCTATAAAACAGAATTGTCAATCGAAGTTTTACCTAAAATCGTCTCCAAGAGGGACTAAAAGCACATTTGTCTTGTACAACTGACTCTTTTTCCTGTACTGATCATACAACGTGAAAGCACTGAAATGCCAAAAAACGAATTGTATTATTGATAAACATTGATTGAGCTAGCTCACCGTTGTTCTACATTATTATTGTTGATTCTCACTGGTGGCACACCCCATGGGCAACCAGGTCCTATTCCTGGGAGACGCCTTTAATAGAACTGGTTGAGGCAAGGGTAAAACAGCACGAAAGGGAAAGGAAGGGAGTAAGAGATTGGTGGTACGAGTTATGTTCAGCATTTATCTCTTTCTTATGTTGTTTAAATACTGCAGAAGTGTATGAAAATACTCGTAAGTTGTTTTTCTCGTGATAATAATGTAGGCATGCATCGGAATTAATTCAAG